AGAGAGAGAGAGAGAGAGAGAGAGAGAGAGAGAGAGAGATTGTCGAAAGCTCGGGCTTTCGACAGCGGGAAGGCGCACGCACACAGACACACACACACACACACACACACACACACACACACACACACACACACACACACTGTCATATGCATCCTGGGCAGACTGTTGAACGTCGTGATGAGTCCGCGAAAGTCCGACGGAACAGTCTGCCACAGTCATGCTTTATTCCAGTTTATAGCGAATATGACAACACACACACACACACACACACACACACACACACACACACACACACACACACACACGCACACACTCTCTCTCTCTCTCTGTCTCTCTCTCGCAGCCGCCGCTCAACGTACATCCACGTGGGCGGCCTTGTACGCAAGAGGTTCTGAAGAAGCACGTAAGGTGGAAAAAAAAAACAGAAGAGAAAAAATAAATAAATGGAAGAAGATAAAAAAACGAGATCATTTTGTGGGCGGCCTTGTATGCAAGAGGGTCTGAACAGGGGGTCGATATGACACACGTGGGTGGGGGCAGCCGCCGCTCAACCTGCATCCACGTGGGCGGCCTTGTGCGCAAGAGGTTTTGAACAGGGGGAGTTGTATGGAAGAAGATATAAAAACAACGAATTCATTCAATTTTTTTTCCCCCTTTTTTTTCGGTTTTGCGCTCTCATATTCATGTTATGTATATATCTTCACAAATATTTATATATATCGTCACAAACAGAACTGCCCGGTAAACCGTAGGCAGAGAGAGAAGAGGACAACAAACGAGGGGCTTTCGTCGGAGTTTCATATATCGTATATATATATATTATGTATACTCCTGATGAGGTCCGTTTGACACACGGGGGTGGGGGCAGCCGCCGCTCAACCTACATCCACGTGGGCGGCCTTGTACGCAAGAGGTTCTGAAGAGGGGGAGTATTGTAAGGAAGAAAAAAAAAAAAAAAATCGTCACAAACAGAACTGCCCGGTGAACCGTAGGCAGAGAGAGAGAAGAGGACAACAAACGAGGGGCTGTGACAAACTGTTTCGTCGAAGTTTCACCGACTCATATATATGTATCGTCATAATATCTATCTATCTATCTATATATATATGGATTCTGCAGACTGGGAGAGAGGTTGTCGATAGCGGTTGACGATGGCCACTCCACGTTGGCCACGGTATACACGACGAGCACGGCCAGGGAGGAGGGCACGCCACGATGAACGTGGAGGCGGGAAACGGACGGCCATGGCCACGCACCATCCGCAGGGAGCAGCAGACCCGCGGCGACTGCAGCAAATGAAAAAAAAACAAAACAAAAAAAAACAAATAAAAAGAACACCGAAATGCATTACTTCACAACTCGGCCTGAACACAGGTCCATCTGTTGTCCGTTCAGATGGACCTGCCCTCAGGCCGAAGTGCCAACGAGCGGTACCGGTACCCCGTTTTTTCACGAAACGACAGAGGCTCGGAAAAATTTGGCGCGCCGGGAAATTCAGGCTCGGATTCAATAGCTGAGCGAGGTACTGGTGGTTTAATGGTGGTTAGTGAATCTCAATGGCGTAATGGAACTGTGCCGCCCTTGAGATTTTTTTTTTGATTTTTTTTTTAATTTTAGAAAGGGCGACAGCCTTGAGATATTATCATAGAGATGACCAGCCCCAAGCGATTCATTAGTAGTTGGTTTTACTCGTCAAGTTCCATCATCTGGATTTGAACACAGGTCTGTATTTCAACAGTTCACGAGTGTACCCACTGAGCTGGCTCTTGGGTCCTTGAGATTTTTTCAAGTCGAGGCTAGTGGAACGAGGCCCCTGCTCTTGGGTAGTGATGCCATTTGTTTCAGAGCAAGGCTACGTAGCACGCTCTCGCCCGCCCAAACACGTTTCTTCTCCCGTTCTGGCGGCATGTCTGATGTAGAATTATCAGTTATGTATTTGGCCCAGTGCCCAAGGCCATAAAAATGACGTTCGAGAACTTTCTTGTCGGCTATATGCGTCAAATACAGCTATAATGACAGTACGTTGTATTCGGGGGAAGTAGGTAGCAGGCCAGATCTAAATATCCACTGTTCTCCAAGAAGTAGAGAATAGGACGAAGGCCAAAGAAAACGAGAGGACAGAATTGGTAAGTAGAGTCTAAAAGGGAAGAGAAAGAGAACCCAAAAAAAGAAACAAACGAAGAACGAAGGAAAAAAATTCGGCCTGAAGAAAAGCCCCGAATAGGAAAGCGTGTCTGTGGCGCCCTGTCGCGCCCTTTCGCGCCTTGTGTCCCATTTCGTTCCCCTGCAATTCTGGCGCCTCGCTCTGGCGAGGCATCAATTCGCCAGAGATCCTTCGTATGTGGCCGTAGATTCTCGAGATCTACGGTAGGCAATGGGGAGTCCCCTTCCCTCCCTCGCCGGAGTAACTCAGACAAGCATTCCTTCAGCTGAGCCCTGGGCGTAATCGCGGTCAAATGCATCCAAGCAGGGCTGTAATTGCGATCAGATACATCCAAAACTCTGTAATTGCGATCAGATACATCCAGGTCTTAGGCATACTCAGACTATAGCACTTCGGTATATGTAGCGGACCGTAACTACTGCCAGAGATGAATGAATCGGACCGCAATCACGTCCAAGGCTCCGTAGAAAAAGTCCTAGTGTGCGATATTCACTCACTTGTTTCGAATGGGCGTTTTGGACCGTAGATGTATGTAGGGCCTAACGGTAGTTGCACTACTCTCCATCCGCCAAGATTTGGAGTGCATCTGGACACCGAAGATGTCCCGATGCATTTAGAATCTTGGCGGATGGCGAGTCGTGGCACTAGGCCCATAGATGATCGACGGCCGGAAACGGGGTATAAGCGGAACCTTAGGCCTCGCCGCACCACTCACAATCCGCAAAATGTTTACCCTCCCCCCCCTTCGCCCCCCCCCCCGGCCCCGCCCCAAAAAAGGATGCGCAAAATAGAGAATGCATCTCCCTTGAGAATGAGGTAACATACAATCGCCATAGTTTTGTCGTTTCAGACTTGTGCACCGAGGCCGTTGGCCCACAGGAGTCCCGGTGCCTTCAGGGACGAGCCTACAAAGACACGACCTTGGCTACTGTATACATTGCGTGGGAGCGGGAAGCGGAGGTGCCGAAGCCAGTTCTCTCCTTCAGTGCCTCTTCGCGTTCTTCACCTTCGAGCGGACGGTGCAAGGTGAGCTCTTAGTGTGTCTACGGTTTCGCTCCCTCTCCTCTTCGTCCTCCTCTTCTTGTTCTTCTTCTTCGTCTTCTTTTTTTCTTCTTGCCGTGTGGTTGAGCGTGCAACTCCCATGAGGGAGGTCGTGTGTTCGATTCTTGAAGATCGGATCATGGGCGAAAAAATGAAATTCTTCTTCTTCTGGTGGTGGATCGACAGGTGGATGCGCCAGAGTGGTTTGCCCCTTTGATAAGTGCTGAAAGCGAGCCAGGCGAAGCGCGTCGGGGAATGTGCGCGTTTCTGAGCTCTGTTATGTCCGAGCTGGTTCAATGAAGTTTATGTTGTGATGCTTGGACACCTAGCGACTTCTCTCTATTCTACCCTATTATTCTTCTTCAATTAATTTCTCTCTGTTAGCTCCTTGCTTCGTCCTTCGGCCATAGCCATCGCGAAGGTATCGAGTGGAGTGGCATTTACCTCGCGCAGAGGTTATTGTCCGGGTCTACTCGGCTTGTTCTCTTTCTTCTCGTCTCACCCAACTGCCCTTCAGAAATATAATGCCTCCTTACATCAACTTTTCATCTTGTCAGTCGTTTTCCCTCTCCCTTTCCGTTCGTCTCTTCATGCGTTAGCCTCTCTCTTGCTAGCGATTTCCTCTCCTCATCGCCTTAGACATTCACACGTGGACTTCCTTGTTCTCTCTCTCTCTCTCTCTCTCTCTCTCTCTCTCTCTCTCTCTCTCTCTCTCTCTCTCTCTCTCTCTGCTATTTTCCCTCCCTGTGTTTGATTTGCACGGGCTTTGCCTACACCTCGGCCCCTGTTGTTTGGCAAGAGGCATATATGTGGCCTGCTCAACGTTTGCTGTTTGGCATAGCCTTTGCCTCCTGCTCTCTTTTTCTCTCTCTTTGTCCTTGTCCGCCTCCGCTTTTGACACCATGACCCTCTCCTTGTTTTTTTTTTAGTTTTTCCTTTCTTTCTGTCTTTAGACTCCTCCTTTTGGCATGGCCATGCCCTTTGTTCTTGCACTTATCTGCTCTACAGCTTCGTTTTATTTCTTGCCCGTTTCGCTCTCACGTCGTCACACAAGTCCTTTCTCCCCCCCGTGGCCCTGAAACTTTCAACGTCTTTTCACCATTTCTCTTTAAGTACTGCTCTTCATCATTCCTTCCTGCGCGGCTGAGATATCAAGTGGACGAATATAACGTACGGTCATTATAGCTGTATTCGGGGCAGCTTCGAGTTAAGGACCGGACGTTGTATTCGGGTGAAGACGGTAGATCATGGTGATTGTCCCCTAGCCCCAGTGGCGCTGAGCCCTACGAAAGACCTGCTTGATCGTTGTCGAGAGGCCTCTTCAAATTCGATTTCCCCGGTACGCCAGGCCTCCGTGTTGACCCCCCAAAAAAAAAACAAAACACCAGGCTCCCTTGGGGACTTGGAAAAATAAACAGAAAAAAGGAGGCTTCCGTGTTCACAAGCTCCATGCAGATCCATCAATTAATGGAGTGGGAAAATGTCCATCTGTACCCCCACCCCCCCTCCTCCCCCCGCCCTGCCCCACCCCCTTCCTCGCGGAGTGTCTCGGGCGGCGGTGGCAGCGGGTCGTGACCCCCTTCTCTTTCGTCTGGAACTTATTTTTTTGTTTGCCGGGAAAGAGTGACCGGAGCGATGCCCGCCAGAATATAAGGGGCCGGCGTTGTTTCAGAAAAGAAGAAAAGGAAAGACACGGAGCACGTTATACAATGCGCGCGCAGCGGAGTGTGGACGGAAAAACACAGCCCTTATGAGTTTGTTGAAAGCGATTTTTTTTATGGGGCTCGCTGCACTGAACAAGCTTCTAAATGTATGCGCAGGTGATAATGGTTTGGATTCAGTCCAAATGTTGGATCAGTCGGAATGAATGTGGTTGACGCTTCTGTCTAGAAACATGTGGAATGCTCTGTAGTGGAGCGAGGCCGGATCGCTCCAGAGGTCGTCGTTGTCGTTATAGCTTTTCCTCGCACGTTGTTCTGCATGTTCATGGGTACTTCACATGCACCCTCTGCCTTCGTCTTTTTCCCTTTCGTATGGCTGCTTTTTGTTTTTTTTTATAATTTGGACCATTTCTCGATTTATGCGCGTCATGTACTTGAACGGATTTTTTTCTTTCTTTTTTTTGGAGCGGATATCTGTTGCTGTGCAGTCGAGGAAAGACTTCTTTTTTATATATATATCGTCAAACACAGCTGCATATATATATATATATACAGACTGTTGAGGGTTCAGCCTCCTGATGAGTCGGTGAAACTCCGACGAAACAGTTTGTCACAGCCCCTCGTTTGTTGTCCTCTTCTCCCTCTCTGCCTACGGTTTACCGGGCAGTTCTATTTGACGATATATATACATCCACGTGGGCGGCCTTGTATGCAAGAGGTTCTGAACAGGGGGAGTTTAAGGAAGAAGATTAAAAAATGATCTCATTTTTCTTGTTTTCTTTATGTTTTTCTTCGCTTTTGCGCTCTGATATCTTGTGACAGCCCCTCGTTTGTTGTCCTCTTCTCCCTCCCTCTCTGCCTACGGTTTACCGGGCAGCTCTGTTTGACTATATATATATCGTGTGATAATATATATTGTTCTTTCTGAAACACCGAGTCGGCTGTTTCGATCAATTGCGAGCACCGATGACAGTGACAGGGTAGCCGCACTATTAGTTCCCTATTCAGGCCAAAAAAAAAAAGAACGAAAAGGATGGCAGTGATGGAAACTGACTAACGAATGCAAACGCTGATACCTACCTCGTCGCCTTGTTGTTGCTGTTTTCCCCCCTTTTTTTTTGTCGCACGGGTACTTCAGGCGCTTGGTGTAGACAGGGAAAGAAAAGGAAGAGGTCAGCCAAGCAGGCAGGTTAGTGTGGCTGATTGATAGATAAAGGAAGGGAGAGCGCCGGATCTGTCTGTACCTGTACCAACAAGCTTTTCGGTCGTCATCATGGGACCACCTACAGTCGACCAGGCTTACTCCGACGCCGTGGAGGCTGCCAGGGCGGACTTGGGCGCCTTCATCAAGGAGAAGAACTGCGCGCCAATTATGGTCCGCCTGGGCTGGCACGACGCCGGGACCTACTGTGCGAAGTCGAAGACCGGTGGTGCTAATGGCTCCATCCGCCATACCGAAGAGAATTCCCATGGGGCCAACATGGGTCTGACCATTGCCTTGAAGTGGATAGAGGAGTTTAAGGCCAAGTACCCAATTTTGTCGTATGCGGATCTCATTCAGCTGGGCGGCTATGCAGCGCTGGACGTGACAGGCGGCCCGAAGATCGAGTTCACCCCGGGTCGCCAGGATTGCGACAAGTGCACTGAAGATGGCCGGCTGCCCGATGCCACGAAGGGTCCCGACCATCTGCGCGATGTCTTCCATCGCATGGGCATCACCGATCAGGAGATTGTCCTCCTCTCCGGTGCGCATACGTTGGGCAGGTGTCACAAGGAGCGGTCGGGATTCGAGGGGCCTTGGACCACTAAACCCCTGGTTTTCGATAACAGCTACTTCACTGAGCTCCTGACTGGCGAGAAGGAGGGGCTTCTTCAGCTACCAACTGATAAGGCTTTGATTGAAGACCCCGTCTTCAAACCCTGGGTGGAGTTGTACGCCAAGGATCAGGACAAATTCTTTGAAGATTACGCGCGTGCGCACAAGAAGCTGTCGGAGCTCGGGTTCGTGTACTGAGAAAAGGGGCAGCTGCCGCTCAAAATGAATTAAGTTTTTCTTGTTTCCTTGTTTTCTTTCGCTTTTCGCTTCGGCGCTCTGATATCATGTGACGATATATATATACATATAAACTCCGACGAAACAGTTTGTCACAGCCCCTCGTTTGTTGTCCTCTTCTCCCTCTCTGCCTACGGTTTACCGGGCAGTTATGTTTGACGATATATAGAGTTGGATTTAACTGGGGGCAGTGGCCTGTAGATATATCTCTAGACTGCCGCCCTTCTCAGAAAGAAAGGGGAAAAAAAAAGATTTCCGTTTGCATTTGGAGACTCTGTTGGAGAGTTTGGACGGAAGGGCAGGAAGTTGAAGTTTTGTTTTGACGTTGGAAGCTGTGGACAAGTCACAAGTTTCGAAAAGAAAAAACAGAGCAAAGAGTTGAGCTTGTTTCAGTTCTCGCTGTTTTCGTTCTTCTTGGAACTTGGCCCCTTGTTTTGTTTCTGGGGATAGACCCAGAGGATGAAAGGCTAAGCCCCTGCCTGCTCTCCACTTGTCACGTCAGAACGACGGTCACCTGGGAAGCCACCTGTCACCTACCGTCCTATCTTTTTCTTTCTTTCTTTTTTCCCCCTTTCATGGTGTTGCCTTTCTGTGCACTTGCTGCTTCCTCTCCTCCTCCCTGTTCCCTTCTCTTTGTGCTTTCTTTTTAAAGCGGCAATCTTTTATCGGGCTGGGAAGAAGGCCCAGCGGAGTCCCTCGCAACATTTACCACAGTTGTGCGAGCTGAGCAATGCTCTCGGGCCAAGCACAGCCGGCACGCTGCATGCCTTTTTTTTTTCCTTGGGAAAACTAGGGCGCTGTCACGGTTTCGGTTTGAAAAAGTGCGCTTCAGTCACCATTTTGACAATGTTGTGTCGAACCTAGCTTTAGGTGTGGGTGGTGGAATGCGTTGTATTCGGTGGGTGGTGGAATGCGTTGTATTCGAGGGATGCCGGAACTGGAAAATCGCGAATGCATACAACCTAGCGTTAGGTATGGGTGGGGGGATGCATTGTATTCGAGGGACGCCTGAACTGGATTTTAAAGGGAAATCGTGACTAAGCCCTAGTTAACCCTTAAAAAAAAAAAAAAAAAAAAAAAAAAAAAAAAGAAGCTATACTCTCCTCTCAATTTCACCTCACACTAGTACCTACCTACCACTGCTCCTAATTGTGGGCATACGGGAACCCCGTAGCAGCCAGAACAGTGTTCACGAGAGAACATGCGGGGGCTGCTCCTGACCTGCAGGTGGGCGATACTGGCTAGGGGACAGCAGGTAGCATCAGGGACAATGGCAAAAGGACAAATCCCTGTGCCTCCCCTTGGGTCCCCTCCCCTAAGAACATCAGCAGACTCGGCTCAATGCCGATCGGGGGATCCAGCGGTCTATTTCTAGGTGGTGGGCGCCAAGCATGCCCAGGAAGGTAAATGAGGCCAATGGGCACATGAGGCCAACCCACGACCTCCTGAATGCCACTTGCGAGCCTTACCCTTTGGCTCGCATTGAATCCTCTTTCACGACTTGGGGCTAGAGTCCAACTATCCCTGATCTATGACAAAGTGGTGATCATTTTTATTAGTATTATTTTATTTTTTTCCTAGGCGGCGGATAAAGCGGGAGTGGTTTTATAGAAACCACTTGGACGGATGATATGGGCGTTGGCTGAACACTTGCCATTCTTCCAATTGCCAGGCGATAGGTGGTCCACACTGACAAGAATGGAAGACCTACCATCTTTCCCCTAACAGAATGCACTCTCATTTGGGTTGGCTTGTCTACGTTCATTTTTAGGGCACCCTCGTTTGGTTGTGGCTTGTATACTTTCGTTATCAGGGTGCGTTGTGTTCCAGGGAAGACGGTAGTCTCTCAGCAGGGCTCGGAGACACTTTTGTAAGAATAAGAGTTGTGGAGGACAAAAAGAGAATTATACCACAGGTACTCCCGGAAGTTGCGGCGTGCATGCAGCCAGCAGCCCAGGCCCGTGCATCTCAGCACGTCGTGGCGTGCATCATACGGCTGCGACTTTTTTTCTTTTCTTTTTAGTACCGGCTGCGACTCTCGGAAGCACTCAGCTGGTAGAGTTCATGTATATGAACCAACTCTCGGAAGCACTCAGCTGGTAGAGTTCATGTATATGAACCAAGCATCCCAATCGGTCAGCCAAGTGCTGTTTGCTCTGTTGGAGTTGGAATGGGAATGGGGTGGGAGCCATAAAATGACAGACTGGAAGTCGAGGCCAGCGCTGCAGGCCCGCGCATCCCAGGAGGTCGTGGCGTGCATGCGGCCGTGAGTTTCAGAGGCACTGGTAGAGTTCATGTATAAGAACCAAGGTTACCAAGCATCCCAATCAGTCAGCCAATTGCTGGTTGATCTGTTGGAGATGGAATGGGAATGGGGTGGGAGCCATAAAATGACAGATTGGCAGTACACTGTCGAGGATGGATACGGGCCCAGTAGGACCCTGCTGCACCGGGAGAAGAAAAGAATTATGAGTTGGGAGAGGGATTCTCCCCTCGTGGACTTTCAGCACTTCACTTGGATACCGTATACTTACATCCGGCCTGTCCTACGCAGGGCACACAGCATCCGGCCTGTCCTATGGCAGGTACTGTGCCCTTTCGTCCCCCAAAACAGGGGCAAGCCTGGAACACTGCCTCCTGACCTGTCCTATGCCACCTATGGTGAGGCAGTTGTGGAGATGGTGGGATGCAGCATGGCACTACCTAACAGGACCACGTTTGCCTTGGGACACCAAAACCCTTGTGATGGGGGACATGGCACACCAGGGTAACCAATGGAATGCGTTCATGTGCTCAAAGACGTCAGCTTGACACTACCAAGGGCAGCCCAGAGAGTTGGATATTCTTTCTAAAGGAATCAGCATAACTACGGTTTTATGCAGGCAAAAGCAACAACTGTGGACACACGTACTGCGAAGACTCGGGATGCGGCACACTAACTGAAACTCAGACACAGGGATGAAAGGGACAGAAAGAAACAAGCAACAAGCAGAAATGATCAGCGGTTTTTGGAACGTATGGGTAGATGCAGAGAAAAAAATTCGGAGACTTCGGGCCTGGCTTCGCTAAGCACCACATGCGCAAAAGACAAAATATATGGCGGTGTATCTTTCCATGTACCAGTGGACGATTCATTCTCATTTTGAAGGTGTATCTTTCCATGTTCTAGCTGAGGATTCATTCTCATTTTGCACGTTTGGTGAGTAGTGAAGCTAGGCCCTTGGACCAACAACAACTCAGGTGGAATCCATGGCGCAACACAGAAACCACCTGGGAAAGACTGCCAACGGAACCTATTTCACCCGAGCTGTGGAGCAAACCATCCCATAAATCCCAGCTGCACGAAGGATCATTCACCTCGTCCGATATCGCAGCCCTCCCCCGCCCGCTCTGCCACATGGCCCGCCACGCAACACTGCTCCCTCCCCTAACCTTCCCTCCCCTTCCTGCACCCCCATCTCAGCCTTCCGCCCCTCCCCCCTCCTCCCTTTCACATGTCTGTCGGACAAGGTAGGATCTGCCCCTGTCAGTCATCATAAAGGTTATCCCTTGTGATTCCAGACTCTGGGGTTCTTAAACCACCAGTACCTCCACCACTAGGCGGCCGCGGGGCCTTCACTGCGACTTTTGGACGCCCTCACTGCGACTTAGGCCGTTAATGAAAAATCTCAACAGCCCCAAGAAAGTTGTGTCGTTAACGGTAACGCCCCGTGTGAGAGACCGCTCAAATATACATAACTTTGGGCAAGCTCCTCCTGCTATGTGCTTTGGTGTCACTGGCGGCAATTTTGATTGTATTTAGTCATTAGTATTCCGTATCTGGGCATATGTTTCGTTTGGTGCACTCTTCCTTTGTTTTCTTCTATGCAAAACCTCGTGTAGTGCAGTAGTTTGCTCATACTCTGGATTCGGTCGTAAGGTTGGATTCAGGCAACCCTCCATCCCTATTCCCATATCAGAGCCGTAGTATAACATAGTAATTCCAAAATTGCGTGTAACGTTTTATCTCACCGAATCTTACCTAATCTAGAGGCTATTTCAAGGAATCTTCACTGCAGGTTCTCGACTTTAGGTTGGTTGGTAAATGTCGAAGGTTGGGGGTTGTTCGTAGAAGGCAACGGAACTATTGGAGGTGGTGGGAGACCTAATGGTTGTGGGAACGTTGCTGACCTACTGTGGCACAACTGAATAGCATTTAGCTGTCAAGAGAGCAAACTTGGGTTGTACCCATTGAGATCTAGGGTGCCTGGGAGATGGCAGTTCCTGCAGAGGTCCAAGGGTGCAAGGTGGGAAACCTCGTCACGGCAACCCAGGCTCCCCACGACTACTAGCTGCCGCTCTGTCGGGCCAGTATTGGTGCTGTATTCCTTTGGTGGAAATTACTTGATCTGCTTGTTGGGCGAATCCTTGTCTTCAACTCTCCAGATTCCTTTCTAGTTCACAATCTGTTATTTGGCTTTGTTCATTAGGGTTTAGTCATACCATGACTATTATAATTTCAAGTGGCGGTTTGCCGTTTTCTGGCCATCTGCATAGGCTGGACTTATAGGCTTGCTACGGATTTTTCAAACATGGATGTTGAATTGGTGACAGCTTAAGGGTGCTGTTGATTGAGACATGTAAGATTACAATTCCATAGGGATAGCTGGTTTCTCAGCTCTGGTGCTTCACGCTTGGAAATGCATTTGAAATCGTTGTAGGTTGCCGGATAGGAATTAGGACCTTTTTACTGCGCTTCAGGGGAATTTTTTGAGAAGCTTCTTTGAGATAACAGAGTGAGAAAATGGGACACTGGACCCGGTTTCCAGTTCTGCCGAAGCTGGGTAATGGCCCCAGTATGTTCGTCCGGGTTGAATTGTGAGGTCCCCGGCCTCTTCTGAACTTCTGTTATTTGTAATAAAGGTGACCAACTTCTCAAAAAAAAAAGAATGCAGTCAACCCCCATGCAAGTCCACCCCTTCTGTCACTCGGCCCAGTCCTTCAGGCACGATAAGCCTGTTTGGCACGATAAGCCTGTTTGGCACTGTGGCAGTCCACGCAATATCCAGCTGAGATCAAAGAGAGAGCGAGAGTTGAGAAGTCAGATTTACAGCGCAGAAGGGGGCGGGCAGTGGATGCAGATAGCAGGGAGGCAGGTAGTCAGGAAGGAGGAAGGATTTTGAAGAAAGTGGAAGATGGAAGGAGCATCGAAAAGTTCACAAAGGGATGATCGGCGGAGCCTTGTGCGGTGCCACTGTGACTTTCTGCGTAAAGGGTGTCAGACTCGAAGGAGGCCTGTGTATGGATATGGGGGCTAATTGCATACATGCCCCTCGGATTCACCTTTTGTCTGAATTTTGCAAACAGGCGCAGCAGACCGGGGGGATGGTGCATTTCCTTCCCCCCCCTAGAAGGTCGGCAGTTAGGCTGCTCCTTAGCGAGCGCAAGAAGAAAATGCTGACTTGGACTTTTCCTTTTCTTCTTTTCCATTTCTTGAAATTGGCACACATGGCATTAGGAATTTTGGTGCGGCTGCTGCGCTGAGGGATTTTTGAATTTTTGAAACATACGACGGCCTATGGGATTAGTGTAAGAATTTGGGCTCGCTGCATTTTTCTGAGCGCTGCCCTAACTGAATGCGCTTTTTTGTTGTTGTTGTTGTTTTCCTTCACAAAACTGGGCCAGGAGTGCTAAAGCCGGTGATATGAGCATCCACCGTTAGCAACCTACTGGAGGGGAGCTGCACCTGCTGGAAAATGTGTCCCTCAAATGATACCATTGATACAACATGCTAGATGTGTGACGAACCAGCTTCTGTCCCCAAACGCTCTTCTGCAGCCCTGAGTTTTCGCTGTTCCTACTCTTCAGCTCTCTCTGGAGCTTTTGGGGTACCCCTCCTTTTGCTATCACCTTAATGCATGGGATTGCAGGCCAACCAGGCCCTCTCACGCCTAAGACAATGTTTGTCTTTTTCAACTTCTTTGCAATTTCGTTTTGGCAATCCATGCGTCTACGTAGGAATTACACGCGTTAGCGAGCGTGCTAGGAATTTTGTTCGGCAGTAGGGAACTCCAGAAATTACGGGCGCTTCTCCCGCCGACGTGTCCTTCCTTGCAAATGGATGTTCCCGGCCTCGCCCTTGAAAAATCTGTGAATTTTCATTAGGAAGGTAGATAGGCGTAGGATTTTCGCGCGCGCAATGCCGCACGCCGATATTGCTTTTGAATTTTTCAATCTTGAAGTAGTTTTAGAACGAGGATGGATGAAACGTAACTGTTTCCATGCCTTTTGTCTTTTCTGCACCGTCCCCATGGATGCAAGCTTTCCCCGCTTCCCTCTGCGCTCTCCTTCTTCCCGCCTTCATCCCCATACAGGTACTCCCTACCGATCCCCCCCCCCAAGTGACCTTTGCTACCCAAGTGGCCTTTGCTACCCATCCTTCCCTCCCTCCCCAAGTGACCTTTGCTACCCATCCTTCCCTTTCGCCGCCCAACCAATCCATGCAAAATGCTGTAATCACTCTCTTAAAGTCGGTGGTTTGTATGAGGATATCTAGTTGTGATTTTGTGTCAGACCATCTTCTTAAGAGCGTTAGTTGTATCTGTTGCTGAATCTGTTCGATGATTTCCCCCCCTTCTATCCTCACCTCTTCCAGAGCCAGAACGCACCTCTGCCACCAGAGAGCCCACATCACCGCCGGTCTACCCAGCCATAACATATTCTCTACAAAGGCCGAGCCTTCTCCTTCCAAGGGCCAGTGACCTACCAGAATGCCCCGCCATGACCATGGCCAGGGGATTTCAATCACCATCTTTCGCCAGACCCGGTCCCACCACCGCCACATAAACTAGCCCACTGGGCATTGCATGAAAATATGCTCAATAGTCTCCGCCTTCTTGTGGGAGGGGAACATATGTGGACATCATTGACACCATGGTAGCGCCAGTCCTCGCTGCTCCGGATTGGTGTGGCCTATTAACTAGTCGTTTGTGGGCAAGCAGCGGTGTGCTATCTGCCATTGTAAGGAGGAGATTTTCACAGGCTTAGATTTTTTGTCACTAAACCAACGTATGGGCAACAGGAGGGAGTGGTCAACATTTAACTGACGGGCCCAGCGATCTATAACTACGTCCCTTAAGCATTCTGTATTTGACGGACAGTCGCTGAAGGGTTATATAGCCTGTTGCGCCCCCCCCCTTTCTCTGAGGGAGCAGCCAAGTCCATTCCTCTGGGTCCAGGGCCAGTTCCTGAACTGCCCATTGCGGTTGATAAGCCACCCTCTCCCTGCCCCCTTCCATGACTCGTATTCGATAAGCTACGATCTTTTCTATCCATTCGAAGGGGGGTGTGCTTCCTTCTAGTATTCCTTTCCGTGTACTCGCATAAAATTCCACCAGGACCATTCGGGGGGCTACTATATGAATCTGACCAATACGTGGTGGTACCTTTTTGGTCGCTACCCAATCTCCCTCCCTGAAGGACGGCCCGTGTTTGAGGACTTGGTACCATGCCAGTGGAACAATCTCGATCAAATCGTCCAAGTGCTCTTCCTCATGGTGCCCATCTGCCAGCTTCAGGGAAGTTGTGGCTAGATGATGTGCAAGTAGCCAGTCAGAAAGTCCTGATGAGCTGACTGCAGTGTATGCAAGGCTGTGCACCGAATGGCCGCGACGAACAACGGGATCTGGGCAAGTTGGTGCAAAAGCTGAGTTGGCGGGGTGTCGATCGCTGTGGTATGGAGGTTGGTACGTGGCGGTCGGGATTACCAGTACATGAGTAAGAAGGGTGTGTGTGTGTACGAGTGGTTGTATGTCCAGAGACCATTATTAGAGAGCAAAGGGCCGGTGCACCTTGATTTTCGGTTCTTCTTCTTTTGGTTTTGGAAAGCCGAGTCCACAACGAATAACCGGTTGTTGTCCCACTTAAGCTTGTTTATATGGTCATAATTCTCTCCCTCTCTCCCTTCTTAGTCCCCCTTCTTCGGACAAGCTACCCCAATACGATAGGTGATGCTGCCTCAAAATCGTTGGCCCCTCGCCAATATGATAGGTGATGCTGCCTCAAAATCAATGGCCTATCCTCCTATTTGTTTTCCCCCCCTACACTGAATCAAGTAGGGGATTAGGAATGTTGTCGGACCGTCTGCTGAACCAAACCGCGTCAATCTTGATAGGAGGAAGAAGAAGAAGACAGGGAGTTGACGAAGGCGGAGAGGAGGAAGACAAAGAAGAGAGAAGGGAGTGCACGAGGGGGAATGGAGAAAGCGATTATCGCCCGATCCCTAACGAAATCAGGCGAGCCAAGAGGTTTTCAGATTGAGGCACATAAATGGGCAAAATGTCGCAAACCGTCGTGTTATCAATTGATAACACAAGATGGATGATCCTCGATGGATCAGGCCGAAACTAATCGAGCCTGCAGTCAATGGGGAAAGTACATGCTAAAAAGACATCGCTATGTCTTAGATAAATGGAGACTCATCTCCACTTCGTCGCTTAATCCCTTCACTTACTCTTTTTTTATCACTCTCTCGTCTATACCAAATAACAGCAAAAAATTTAGCATCATCTCCCCTAGACTGGGTAGATCGCCAAAATTTTCACTGGTCTAAATTTGACTAACTCCTTCAGTTTGTAAAAAAATCGACATCACTTCCCCTAGGAAAGTGGATTACCAAAATTTTTACTGAGCCAAAATGTGAAAAGAAAATGCAACCTGACTTGAGATTAATTTATTGTACTTACTTGATGGTCAGATTTTGAGACAATTTTCGTGATACCCTTTTGAAGAGGGTATCATGAGGTTGCTCTAGCTCTGATTATCAGTAAGGTAATCATATCTTGTCCCAAGATTCCTCATCCATGCTACACTACCTATCGCTCCAGCACTCGACGAGCATCTACACAACTAACTATCAAAAAATGTCACAATGAGGGTCCAGACAACTATGTATTATCCCCCGCGGTCATGACCGCCGGTCGAGAACTCGACCAGCAGGCTCAGCCCGGGGGCGGGCAAGTTTTTTTATTTATTTTTATCTCGAAAAATAAACGGTAAAAATAAACAAAAAAGGTTGTAGGTTTTTTTTTTTACCTACAAATCCATTTTTCTTTTTTTTGGGTTTCAACATTGTGCAAGGAAGATGAGCAATAGCGAATTCCAGAACTCAAACAGCATCATACATGAGTGACCAAATAGCCATGACCTCGAACCATAAGCAGAATGGCATC